TTGAGAAATAAAGAGGACTTTTTTTTAAAAATGAACCTGCAAAACCAACCCTTGATAGTTACTCAACATACTGAGGTGCTTGTGCCTCCACAGAGCAGGATCTATGTCTCTGGGTGTTTCTATAAATCCCGGTAGAGTGCTAGCTAGAAACACCCAATGTGATACAATGTCTCACAAGCAAAGTATCTCCTTAGACTTTCTCATGATTTTTAATGTCAGCTTCCTGATAATGACAGTCCATGGTCTTTGCATGGGTTATTCCAGATCAACATTACTGTCCCCCAACACATGCCCCAAGACATCTTCATAGTTTAAGTACAGCCTTTCCCTAATTCTCATTGGTCATGTGCTCTGGTTTGCTCCCCACATCCCTAAGGGTAAGTGGAAAGTGAAGTTCATTGTACTTGCCAGCCTGAGAACCATGCAGATCTCAATATACCAAGTATCTGTGCACGTCTCTTTCCTCCTCATTGTATAGTGGGTTTAGAGCAAAATTGTCTGAAAGACTCCAGACTGATTCCTTCCTTTCTTATGTATTAAGATAGCACCTTTCTTGGTCAAGAAAATACAGTTCCCTTGGCAAGTAACATCCAGAGGTGCATTTTCAGATCATATCCACTAGTTGATCTATTTTCAGCACCTTGGAGCTCAGGATTAAAAAGCACTTTGATTCAGACTGAATTTTGCAATTTCCCAGATTGGTTAATATGGGTGCAGAAAAAGGCAAAGAAACAAAGAAGCCCCACTCTGAAAGTGGAGCCTGCACTGTAACACCATCACCAACAGTTATCCTCCATCAGCAAACAGAATCTGTAATAAGACTTGATATATGCAAGCTTCCTGACCCACTGAAAATCAATCAACTATGATATATTCAAAAGTAGCAGAGATGTCAGAAAAACAGAGAATGATAAATTGTTCAGGGACACTTATCACATCTGTTGAAGTGGCACTGCAAAGCTCTCTGCTGGAACAAGAGCCTGAAATACAGGTTATAGAAAATATTTCCATGAAAGCTTATTACCATAGTCAGAATTTAAGGCATGGGTTTGTTTATGTAGTACTGCTCAGGAAACACAGATTCAGGAGAGGAAAATAAAGAGAAACCTCATCTCCAGCCCAGTGGCACAGAAGGCCAAACACCATTTGGGTTGCCCAGGCTCTGCATGCAGTTACCCAGAACAAAAATGCATGTCTCCAAACTCAGGATGGCCCTGGGCATGAGGTGTATTTGTGTAAAGTTCATGTCTTGTAGTTTATTTTGCACCACTAGCTGCTTCCTGCACACCCTGCTATGATACAAATCCCTTCTTTGCACTATTAGTTTCAAAGCAGCTTCCTTCCTGTGGTCTCCAGTTCCGAAGCAGAACTCACTTGGGGTTACTAGGAGCTGTATATAATTCTGTTTGGAAGTGAGAGGTGTCCATATGTATCAGACAGAACAGAAGCAAAGCTGAGTCAGATTATTTTTCCTTACTGTCTGTTAACAGAAAGCCTGTGTTTTTCTTTCACTCCAGGAGAGAAATTGTTGGTGTTATGGAACCAGTCCCTCATGATGAGACCTACTGTGATGCTGCAGCACTGTTTCATGTGGCCAATGATTACTCCTTCATAAGGTAGTGCAGTGTTTAATTCATGACTAAACTTTTGGCTGCAGAACAAGCCCCAACTACCTAAAACATTTACTGGAGAGTCTTGGGACCCAATCTGTGGACATCAGGAGCTGCTCCATAATAATATGTGAGCAGTGAGGAGCTTCTTACTGAGCAGAGAAGCTTTGTGCTGCCATCAAACCAGTGGGAGCACTTCTGTATGAGGTACTTTTCTCTTGAGGAATCAGTGCCCTGTGTCACTTGGACCATACACATGCAGCCCTGAAACAACTAACTCTGGACGTCCCTCTGTGTCCCAGCCGTCTCATTTTAGAGGGCTCAGCCAGAGCTGAAAGCTAGGCCTTAAAAACCATACTCTTTTCTGGTTTATGTGGCAACAAACAGACTTGTGACTCTTCTGCTGCATTTGATCTTGGCATTTTGTTAAATCTGAGTTAGCTTAGCCTATAAATATCAGCTGGCCTCTCTCCCTGCAGTACTGCCTTCCAAGCAGGACTGATGGCTGACACAGCAGAGCTTTCCAAAGGGCTTGCCAGACAACTAACAAAACCTGTGCTTTCCTTCTCCTTGCCCTTCCTTTAGGTATTACACCCGGACCATCTATCAGTTCCAGTTTCAGGAGGCACTTTGCAAGGCAGCTAACCATAATGGCCCTCTTCACAAATGTGACATTACCAACTCCACGGCAGCTGGTCAGAAGCTGAGGTAACGAAGCAAATTTCGCACATGTAATAAATCAGAGTATAACAAAGCCTAAGTCAGCCTTGGAAAGCTTCTGGAGTCAATGAGGTTGAATCAAGAAGGAATCTAGCTTGGAAATTTAGCATTTAGGATTTCCAATTTAGCATTGGAAATTTAGCTCAGTTAATTTTGACAAGCTGACTAAATTTATGTACACTGAGGTTCTAAACATCAGGGGATTAATTACCTGTTAATTGGAAAAATATTTTTATTAATAGGAATAATGGGAGAAAAGAGGGAATTCAGGAGCAAAAAAGAAAGCTTTTATACTGATCACAGAGTACTTTGCTAGGCTAGATGAAATGTGGCAATAACACATACTACCTCTCATTTCACATACACAGACAATTGCTGGAATTAGGCAGATCCAAGCCCTGGACTGAAGCCCTGGAAAGTGTAACAGGAGAGAAATACATGAATGCAGCACCCTTGCTCCACTACTTTGAACCTTTATATGAGTGGCTGAAAAAAAACAATACTGGCAGACTCATTGGTTGGAAACAAGACTGGACTCTATGTACGTACGACTTGTGGGTGATTTAAGGACACTCATTAGTCTTCAGAACTCTTGATTAGCAAAGACCCTCTCTCTTGTAGCTGTTCTCCCTAGGGAAGCAAGGTTATGGGAAATACAAGCCAAGCAGTGGATTTTACTCATAGGAGGACAAACTGGCCTTCTCATGGCCAAAGCTGGAGAAATCAGCACACATGAAGTTTGTCAGAGTCTCACCCAGTTGCCAGAAATTGTGGTTGGTTGCTTTTTTTTAATAGTGGCAGCACTCAGAGTGTGAGATGGCTGTACAGAAGGAAGAAAGATGAGAGACTTGGAATTGTATGGTACTTGTTTGAGACCAGTGTGCCTGTTCTGCTCTGCTGGGAGCCCCTGATCCTAAGACTCTGAGCTGTGGGCATAGGGGCAAACCAAAAATTGCTATTATGTTTCTTTTGCTGTCATGTGCTAGTCAAAGACAGGAGCTCAAGGGGAGAAAAAGGAGGAGACAGTGGAAAAATCTTTCAGCTGATTGTGCTGACATTAAGTGTTGAACGACAGAGACCATATATGTGCAATCACTGTGAGTACTTGAAGACCACCATAAATCTTACAGTGCTGTGCCTGTCTCCAGTGGTGGGATTCTCCTAAGGAGACACCAGCATCTAAATCTAAGCTCACTCCCATTGGTGGGAAAGAGGAATTTTCCTTCTGCTACAAAGTGAGACTTGGGAAGTGACAGCTCAGATGTGTATGTTTGCAGTACAGATGACTGAAGGGAAACAAGATCAATCCCACCAAGTTCCTCAGGGGGAGCAGGGGAACCTGTAAGGACACTCTAGCCTGCCCAGTATTTCCTAGGGACAGACTTTTTGTTGCTGCAGCTCTAACACGGCCCTTGTTTCTTTTTGAACCAGATGCTGACAATGCCGTCAAAGTGCGCATCAGCCTGAAGTCAGCACTGGGGGCCCAAGCGGTAAGTGTGTCTGCACTGTGACATTCTTCCCATTGCTTGGGCAACTGAGATGTGCTAATGGCTCTCAGAAAATAAGGCAGAGTGTAGCTAATTTTTGTGTCTGAAGAGTGGCATCAGCTCAGGTGAAGGGTTATCACATACAAGATATCTTGTCTGAGTTTGTGGTCAGGACTCCCTCTAGAATTAGTGAAGGGACTTCTCCAGGGAGTGATCACACCCATTTTGAGAAAGACATGCCAGTTTGATGAATTATTTATTCTGTGGAGATATTGACCATTTCTTGCCTGCTACAAGACAGGCCTGGAGGGCTAACATAGGGGGGAATCTGTGTACCTGAAAATGGCTGTATTTTTGCTGGCTATGCTGATGTGTCTAAATAAAGACTCTACCTAATTTATTCTCATTTCCATTATCATGGCTATGATAGCTGCTTTCAGAAGTTATTAGAGCAACTACTTCACATTTAAATGTGGGACTAGAGTAGAGGGATTGAATCCCACTGTCTATTCCCACATGCTCTTGATTTCACACTAAAACACTTCTATCAGCATTTCTCTGTAGATTTTTGTTTGCCTGTTTGCTGTAATCTTTCCAGGCCCTGATATATTCGGCTGCCTCCCTGCCCTCCAACTCTTATGCAGCAGGAACTTTGTTATTGAGATTGCAGGGGACAGTGCAGCTGCTTCTGTTTCAGATGAGGAGAAGGGCTTTCATTCCCAAGAGCTTGTCTGCTTTTCCCAATTATACCAGCTTGTCCAATAAAATGTATTACAGCAACCAAAAAACCTCATCAAAGCCAAAGATGGCTTTTACAATTTTAAATAGAGCATTGGCTTAGCCCATCTGCTTAACTGAGGCTGAAAATTTGCTCCTTATTCTAGCTGTGCCTCTTTATGCTAATCTCATGGAAGCAGCATAGAATGCTTTAAGTGCAGACACTTCATTCCTGTTAATAGCCATTTTCACCTTGCAGAACATTAGTAATTTTCCAAGAATGAGTATGTCATCAGACAGGTCATTTAGACCTGAGTGTCAGAGCCTTTTGCACTAGCAAGGACACAATACCATGGGCTCATTTTCCTTATGAACTGATGCTCTTGCTTCTATCACTGTCTCACATGCAAGCCCCACTGGAGTTTTATTGCTTCCTAGACTGCCGAGTCGAGTTAGATACAATTCAAAACTGATATCAACAGCATGAAAAGGTTCCATATTACAACACATTTATTAGTCATTATGGTTAATGTTTAGCTTAATACCATCTTTATGCCTGCCTTTTGCCATCATAGTCTTTTGTTGTGCAATTGAGCAGCAGTAAAACAATCTCATACAGATTACTTAATTTGAATTATTGTATGGACAGTAGGTTCCTAAGCTCTGAAGAGCAAGCCATACGTTTTCCTCTCAAAACCAGTCCACATCACCAACTTGCACAAAACCTTTTCCATTCAGTAGCTTTCTGCCTCCCCATAAGTTTTTCTTACACTGGGTCCCTAGGGGCATGACTCTGAATGCTGGTATGCCAGCAATGGGTGATGGTACATGCATGAACTGGCATAGAGAAAAGACAAGGGGAAGTTCAGGCAGGAATCTCAGCCCAGCTACGCAGAACAATATGTTTTGGCTGCTTTACACAGCTCACAAGGCACAGAAGCTGTGAACCCAGTGCAAGTATTTGTTTAAGATTTGAGTTGCTTTGCACCATTAGGACAGCAGAAAGCATTCTGAGTATGCCAGCAAACCTTTTTGTATTTCTGCTCTTTAACACTGGAGAGAGCAGAAAGGGAAATATCTGCAGTCTTGTGCAGAGGGACAGCTGTCCTGGGACATCTGTGTGGGGCAGCTGCAGCTCATGCAGGCAGTCCTACACCTCTCAGCTACAACTCTCAACCCTAGGTGTTACCAGCAGTGAAGTTTCAGTAGCCCAAAGTTCTGGCAAATTAACCAACCATCACAAATGGGCTTATTCCAGCTGTACCAGAGCGTTCGCTGCCACAATTACCCTGCTAATTGTTTTCAGGCTGATGAGATTAGAGTTGCAGTCATAGCATCACTGGATCACCAGCATAGCTGATGAGGCTGAAACACCCACAGCTTTGCTTCAGCTGGGGCTTTATGAAAGTGCCCTCCCAAGGGAAACTGCAACAAGATCCCCACAGAATGCCCTGGGGTTTCTTACTGCAAATAAAAGGTTCCAGGAATGTTAGTCCCCTGACCACCACTTGAAAATAGGGTCCCTCTTCAAAAATCCTCCCACAGCATACTTCTAGAAATATTGGTTGCTCATGGCTTGGATGGGTGGACTCATCAATGGGGATAAAAACTGGCTGGATGGCTGAGCCCAGGGAGTTGCGGTTAATGGAGCTAAATCCAGTTAGTGTCACATCACTAGTGGTGTTCCCCAGGGCTCAGTATTGGGGCCAGTCCTGTTTAACATCTTTATTGATGATCTGGACATGGGGATTGAGTGCACCATCAGTAAATTTGCAGACTGCACTACATTGGGTAGGAGTGTCAATCTGCCTGAGGGTAGGAAAACTCTACAGAGAGAGACCTGGACTGACTCGATCAATGGGCTGAGCATGAAGTTCAAGAAGGCAAAGTGCCAGGTCCTGGACTTGGGACACAACAACCCCCTGCAGTGCTACTGGCTGGGGGAGGAGAGGCTCAAGTGCTGTTTGTCAGAAAGGGACTTGGGAGTGCTGTTTGACAGATGTCTCAATAGAAGCCAAAAGTGTGCACAGTTGGCCAAGAAGACCAACAGCACCTTGGAGTGTATCAAGAATAGTGTGGCCAGTAGGACTAGGGAAGTGATCATCCCGCTGTACTCGGCATTGGTGAGGCCACACCTGGAGTGCTGTGTTCAGTTTTGGGCCTCTCACTTTAAAAAGGACATTGAGGCACTGGAATGAGTTCAGCAAAGGGCAGTGAGGCTCATAAAAGGTCTAGAACACGTGTTGTATGAGGAACAGCTGAGGGAATTGGGTTTGTTTAGACTTGAGAAGAGGCAGCTCAGGGGTGACCTCATTGCTTTCTACAACTACCTGAAAAGGGTTTGTATTGGAGATGGTCTCTCCTGCCCTGCCTGCAGGGAGAGGCCTAGAGGGAATAGTCATAAACTGAGACATGGGAGATTCAGATTAGATATTAGGAAAAATATTTTCACTGTTAGGGTGTTCAGGCACTGGAATAGGTTGCTCAGGGAAGTGGTGGAGTTACCATCCCTAGAAGTGTTTAAGAGGTGTCTGGATCTGGTGCTGGAGGATATGGTTCAGGGTTTAGGGATTACAGCAGTGACAGTCTAATGGTTGGACTTGATGGTATTAGAGGTCTCCTCCAACCTTGATGATTCTTTGATTCTATGATCAATTCAAAATTCCCCACTGGATCAATGCCACAGATGTGATTACATTGTAAAAGGTGGCACACATGACAGCGTTAGGGAACAGAGAGCTGTCAGTCTGCAGGCATTTAGATGTATTTTACAATGAAAAATCCTTTTTGTATCAGAGGCCAGACTTACACTGTCTTTCAAGTCACACGTGGGGTTTGGGAGGGAACACACTGTAATAGAGCAGAGGCTCTTGACAGAGTTCATTTCACTCTGAAAGCAAAGCAGCTTCTGTAACAAATCCTGAGATGCCTAGGGAAGGCGTGTGGGTAGTCATTACTCAAACACAGATCAGAAGCCAGCCAGGTACTTCCCATCCACACAGCCAGGAATGGCATTTATAAAGGCACTTCAGAGGCACAATGGCAATTAAAATACATTAGACTGAAAAAGACAAAACATAAGCTACAGAAATGAATAAATGATTAAAAAGTAGAGAAAGCATCAGTAAAGGAATGAAGTTCAATTAGCTCCTGGTAAAAATAATAATAATAAAAATAAAAGCAGCACTGCAGAACCTAAACATGTTGGTGATAAATAGAAATCTCCACAGCAGCATCGTAGGCTGTGATGGTGAACAGTGCCAGCTGCCGGAGACAGCAGCAGTAACATGGAGAAGTGCCTCAGTGTGGGGCTGTGAAAGCAGAGAAACCCAGGGGCATTTGCCTAACAAAGGTGACTCAAAGCTTCACCTTTTGCGGGTGAGAACACCCAGGGCTAGCACAGCCCCTGCCCTCCAAATGCCACAGGGGCTGCTCTGATAGCAGTGGCTTTTGGGTCACCTGCACCTTGCCTGGGGCCTGATCTGCATGGACTGACAACAGCAGGCTCTTTCTGCTCTTTCCTCCACTCTATTTATAGAATCATAGAGTAGTTTAGGTTGGGAGGGGCCTTTAAAGGTCACCTAGTCGAACACTGCTGTGATGAGCAGGGACATCCTCCCCTAGCAGGTTGCTCAGAGCCTCACCCAGCCTGACCTTGAATGTTTCCAGGGATTGAGCATTCACCACCTCTCTGGGCAATTTATTCCAGTGCCTCACCACCCTCACAGTAAAGAATTTCTTACTAATGACTAGTCTAAATCGACCCTCTGTTAGTCTAAAACCATTACTCCTTGTCCTATTGCAACAGACCCTGATAAAAAGTTTGTCCCTGCCATATGTATAGATACTTATATGTATTTCTCTCTTTTCATTTTATATCAGTGTCAAGAGGACAGGGTTGAAAAGTGTAGCTGGGTTTTATAAAGCCTGTTAATACAGAGCTACCTTTGACCACACCTTCCTGAATGATACTCAAGAAAGTCAGGAGCTATGTAAAACTATTGCTGACAGCATTTATAGGCATTCCT